ATAGCTGCAAAAAAAAAAAAAAAAAAATTAGGCGTTGACATCTGTATCAAACTGATTACGCTGCATATCATTTACGTTTGACGACAGCACTGTTGTCGGTGAACATTGCAACCAGGATGATCAGCTTTTTTACGTATGCATTTGTTTTCAAATTGAAGTATATGTGTGTCAAGAAAAAAACTGTGCATTGGTAGGCACAAATCTGACTGCTGAAATATTTACTTGTCTTGTCTGTTATTGTCTAGAAAATAAAAACTGAATTGATTTCAGTTATAAAAATCAGATGTTAAAAATTCGCTATCGATTAAAATTTAAAAATGAACACTGTATACAAACAGAAAAACTGACTAATTTAGAGTCACTCAAGTACACTCAAAATAGGCGGTTAGACCAAAAAAATTTCTAATAATATGTCTAGAAAACAAAGAAGGCAAGTAATGATATTTGGTTGATTTGAAACGCCAAAGGACAAACGCCGAATCTGGTCAAAAATAGATCGTTATTAAAAAAAAAATATTTTGTTAAGAGTTTTTAAGCGGTTACTTTCAAGCTAGGAAAAGCTTAAGCATAACAGATTCTATGGCGATATAAAAGATATGTTTATTAGATCAAATGAGTTTAACCAGGCATATTTTTAACCATGAAGAAGTCACAAGTGTCTTCTTGGCTAACATTTTCAATGAATCGGTGAACAATTGTGGGATCGTGTGATATAAAACTGAGTCAGCTTTACTGAATAAGTTAATAATTTATTAGCAGTCTACTGTAATTAGTGCGTATGAACAACGTGTAAAGGACGAATTTGAGTAAAAATTTGATTATTAAATAATTTTTAGCAGTTTATAGACAAATATTTTTGTACAGGTTAAAACCAGCTAAAACCATTTTAGCAGCGTTTAAATTGTAAACTTCCTGAAAAGATGAGTTGCCTACATTTAAGAGCATCAGTGCATTGGCTATTTGAATAATGTTGTTCAATAGTTCTATACCAGAAACGTATAGAGTCTGCGGCCGGTTCTTGACACTGATAAATAGTTCAAGATTAAACTTGCTTCGAATACAGCTATTCAGATTAGCTTCTGTTTGCCGATACTTATGTATTGCTTCATAATCGTTGCAAAAATCACCAAATGATATTGGTTATAAAAATT